ACTTGCAGACAGGACAGAGTAGAGAAAATTGCAATACCGATCCCTAGAATGGTCGGGTTATGCAAAAAGGATAGTCAAAACACTAGCTGAGGTCAAGGAAAATAGAGAGACGGAATGACGAGAGACAAAGCCAAATATCAGTAACCAGGAAATCCAAATAACAAGTGCAACGCTCAGTGGTAAACCAAAGACCACAACAGGGCACTAAGGCAAGGGAGAGGTTAGATTATATACACACAGGGTGTGTCTGATTGGCTAATTTCCAATTAGTGTTAACCACAACACGTGGGAGGAGTTTCTTCCCTCCCTTGTGGTCTCTGAGGTCATCACTGTGTGCCGGGTCACATGACTGGGTGCAGCACACATATAAGGAAGCTTCTCTGGAGCGTGTAGCGTCAGACACACGTTCCCCCGCCCTGCAGAGCTCAGTCTGCGCGGAGCCCTCCATGGGTGAAGATGGATTATTTTTTTGCGCTCTGGTTTTTTCTTTTTCGTCGGGTTTTTTTTTTGCGCTCGGGATTTTTATTTTATTTTCAATTCGACGGTTATGATGGTTTTTTAATTTGGCCTTTTTTGGGGCTGAAAAAAGAAGATTTGAGAAAAAAGAAGACGTCGAATGGCAAGTTTACTTTTATTTTACAGGTTAGTTATTTTATTCCCCCCTCACTATTTTTTAGGGTGAGGGGGGTAGGTAGGGACTTTTTATTTGGGGGGGTGACTAGGGGCTTGGGGACCCCTAGTCACCTTGGGGGGGGATTTACTTAGGGCCCCCACCCGCAGCCCAGGGGTGGGGGCCGGGGGGGGAGGACAGTAGGTCCCCCCCCATTATCTTTGTGGCCCCCACCCGCCAACCAGGGGTGGGGGCGGGGGGGGAGGACAGTAGGTCCCCCCCTCATTAGTCTTTATGGCCCCACCCGCCGCCCAGGGGTGGGGGCCGGAGGGGGGCAGTAGGTCCCCCCCTTATTTTTCATTTTAGGGCCCCCATCGCTCAGGGGTGGGGGCCGGGGGGGGAAATAGGTCCCCCCCTCATTATCTTTATGGCCCCCACCCGCCGCCCAGGGGTGGGGGCCAGGGGGGGAGGAGACCTACTCTCCCCCCTTCAACCAATAAGAGTCCCTGTGGGTTTTAAAATTCGCCTGCCCATTGAAGTCTATGGCGGTTTGCCCGGTTCGCGGGTTCGCGAACATTTACCGAAGTTCGCGTTCGCCATTCGCGAACCGAAAAATTCACGCATACTTGCATACTTGCAAAAACAGAATATTCAATGATATAATCTTGCAATGTAGGGTAATAACTGCTTGATCCAAGGATAAATCTGACTGCCATTCTGGGGTCAAGAAGGAATTTATTTCCTAGCTTGTTGCAAAATTGTGCTTCAAACTGTTTTTTTTTGCCTTCTTTTGGATCAACAGCAAAAAACAAATGTGAGGAAGCCTGAACTTGATGGACGCAAGTCTCTTTTCAGCTTTGTAACTATGTAACTATATACAGACAGACATATATACATACTGACAGACATACAGACATAATGACATACATTGATACTGTAAAAGAAAGAAAGGAGAGGGGACTAAATGAGTCCTCAGTGGGAGAGTAATAGAATTTGCCAGGCAGTCTCTTTTCTCTATAGCAGACACCTGTTTTTCTGTAATTGTCTCTAGATTCTTTACCATTTAAATTCCCTTCTCCCATCTCTCCTATTTTAATTTGTGTTTTCCTTTAGGATTATTAAAGGTAGGGACCCCCTTCTCCCCCTATTACTCTCCCACTGAGGACTCATTTAGTCCCCTCTCCTTTCTTTCTTTTATATTAACTTCGTGGGTTATTCCCCAAATAGGGAGAGTAATTTTAGGGCTCTTTGGCACTAATTCATTGGTCAGGTATTGCGACCTCTGAATCAGAGCCATCACTATTCTTTTATACATTGATACTGGCATACATACATACAGACATACATTCATAATGACATACATACATACATAAACACACACAACCACAGCTCATTTTTCAGCCACCCTCCTGTTTCTTACCTTTTTTTGCAGGAGGGTGGCTGGAAATGATAGGAGTCGGTGCAGCTCCCAGCTCCCTCTTCAGTGACCACTTCCTCCCAGCAGCACTTGCTGAGGTTGCATTTTTTTTTTATAAGGGGCCTGGTCGCGCTATAACGTGGCCACAGTGCTGACCGGTCCCCTGAAGATATAGGACCCATCGGGTGGCCCTAAGTGCATGGGCCACCCGATAGGCCCCATCAGTGCGCGGGCCCCGGTGCAACTGCACCAGTGGCAGTTCCGCTGCTACATGTGGGCCCGCCGGGCACATGACAACAGTCATAGTTGTCACCCCCTGATGGCGGCTCTGCATTTTAATATATATGAAAATGCTTTCATACTTGCCATAATTTTCTTTTCCTTGTCATAGGCCATGGCAGCACAACGTAGGGTTTTTGGAGGTAATCCCCCTTTTTAGGTGTGCTTTCCTCCCATAACGTTGTTTAGCACTGCCCCTTCTCTTTTCTTTTCCTAAATGTGAATATTTACATATAGAGAACATAGCTTTTGCACTATTTTACTAATTTTCAAGTGTGCGTTAACTCCCCTTCCAAAAAAATAACTGACATATTTACAATAGTTATTCAGCCATTACAAGGTTCCAATAATATATTAAAGTACTTAAGTATATTGGAATAAACTGTTATATTTTAAGTATATTTGTACAGTATTTTGAAAACTGCCTGGCTGGGTACAACTCTGTGAGCATACATCAGAAGCCTAGCAAGTGAAAGTAACAGAATTCACAAAACTATTTCAAGTAGGAGTTGAAAACCAGAGTTTTAAACAAACAAGTAGTTTAGACCAACACGGTAAATATTGTTTTATTTTTTTCTGTATTGGTTGTTTTTGGTAACTTTGAAAATGAATGTTGGCAAGATTGAAGGTTTGACTCATTACACATCTTGTTACATGTATGCATGCCTGGATAAATCTGCCCAAGGTTCATACCTATGTGGCAGGTGAGAGCGAGTGGCTTCTCTGGAAGCTCATGTTGAAGATCTGGATAATTAATAATATTGAAAGGGGTCTACTGCTTATTGAGCAGCGTTTAGTGGGTGCCTCTAGTAGAGTGGGAGGAGATAAGACAGCTGGGGAACAGGCATGTAGGGGAAGAGGAAAGGTTTAGCTAGTTCTAACTTTTGGCAACCTAACAGATTTGCACTTTTGAATGAAGATATTGGGAGCATCAGCTCAGGAGTAGATGTACTGTAAGAACCTGTTCCTTCTAAAAGCCGAGAGAACAGCAGCGGTGGTAGGGGACTCTGTGGCGAAAGTAACCTCGCGACTGGGCTTTGGACTATGGCCCCTGGGGTGTATTGCCTTTTAAAAACACTATTTGTGCATATTGGGACTTAGCACAATGCCCCTTTCAAACATGTGGCGGCAGCCATCTTAAATTGTCCAGTGGTGTTTTGTCGTCGAGTGTATGGAACTGTTTTGGGCATGGGACCATGTGCACGGTGGGGCAAAAATATGACTTTCAGGAAATCCCTGAACCGATCTGGGTGATTTTTTGATATGTTGTTCGCTCAAGGTCGTATTTTCTAAAATGTTACCTATGTGCACTACAATAGTACCAAAATGGGGGAAATAAAGGCAATTGCACACACTAAAAATGTGACATAATAGGCATAATAGAAAAATGGTGGGCAGTTAACTTAAATGGTTACACATTGTTTGGATGGTGGTGGGGTATGTTTGTATGTCAACTGTGAGTCAAACACAAATCTTAAGCAAATACAATTTGATAACGAAAATGTAGAAGCATTATAGGTTGATATCTGCTTTAGGCAAAATAAGACAAATCAATTATTGGTTGAGATATGTTATAAACCAATTAATGTAAATATTGATGACGAAGAACAGCTGTAGTAGTAAATTGGGAAATATGCATATCTGGGTAAAATGTTATTTATTGGAGATTTTATATAACCAGGCATAAATAGGCTAGAAGGATTAGTTGTTCAGCAAGGGTAATTCATCTTTTGAATGTGTTAAATGACACTGTAACAGAACCTTCCGTTAATGGACGCTTCCTAGCTTGCGCCGAGGACCACAAGCACCGCACCGGAAACCACAACCACCGCAGACTCCACAACCGCCGTAGCTTAACTGGAGTCTCGACGTCTTCCTTCCACCCTGAATCAGTTTCTGTCTGCCCACAGGGTTTTGCAGAACAACCAATCAATACGTACAATACACTCAGACACTCCCACACAAAATCCTCACCCTACTGAACACAATGGTCTAACTTAATTATCACAGGCAGGAAAATACACAGTTTTACACAATATTCATAACTCTAAAAGTATACATCACATTCACATAACTTACATTTTCAGAATCAGCATACTCCAAATACAAACATCATACAAATTGGTCCAGTGGGTCAAAAGTTAGTTGAAAGTCCCTTTGTGACCATCTGCAAGCTTGGGTGTGGTAAGCCAATTACCTCCAGCATACAGAAAATAACTCTGGCATAACTCATGGCAGAAGTGGTTATATTTATTTGCCATGGTCCCACTTAAAATGTCTAAACCATGGATAGCAATGATTCAATCAAATTTTACTAAATGTATTTTGAAAAATAAAAAACCCAGAATTAGTCAGAAAATACTATTCAAAAAAGTGTCTAAGGGCGGTCTTAGTTTCCCAAGCATCACCTCTTTGTATTATGCTAATATCATCAGGCATATTTATATACTACAAGACCCACAGCAGCGGTCTGAATCATGGTTTATTATGGAATCAGAGGCAGCTCATACCTCTAGACTACATTATTATATGTGGTTCGATAATAGGAACATCACAAATGAATTCTCCTTAAATTGTCTATCTACTCTGGCCCAAACTCTAGAGGCCTGGGCAGAAATTAGGAATATCCTTGGTTTTACCCAATGCATTCCAAGGTAATGTAAATTAAACACATTGGAATTAGTTATTGAAGACCTTTCGTTGAGACACTGGGAAAATAATGATTCATTAACAATTTCCAATATTATGCAAGGGGATAATATTCTTTCCTTCCAACAATTAGTTTACAACTTACATATCCCGCCAAGAGAAATATTTACTTATCTTCGAATTAAAAACTTTATACATAAAAATGTTATTCAAACTTCTTCTCTATTGGCTAAGAATTTAGAAACTATATTCTGTAATCGCCCTGTTAACAAGGTTATTTCTATTGCAAACTCGTTGATGGATTGTCAGAATGTTATCCCCCATAAATTAATTAATATTTGGGAGCAAGAATTACATTTGAGGATTACATCAAAGGATTGGTTTGCCTCTTTACTTTACATAAACAAATACATTAATTGCCTGAATTTGATAGAATGCCATTTTAAAGTAATACATAGATGGTATTATATCCCGACAAGATTGGCCAAAATGTATGATACCTAAGACCCTATTTGTTGGAGAGGCGGTACTTATCTGGGTTCATACATACATATTTGGTGGTCTTGCCCCGTAGTTAGACCGTTATGGGCTTGGGCTTTTAATATTTTATATAAATTGTCACTTAATAAATTAAATTAAAATCCGGCCTCAGCCCTTTTGCATCTGAACTGGCTTTTTAAGTTTCATAAATATAACTGTTTAGCAACTAATTGCTTGATCACTGTCAAAATCATTATTGCTAGACAATGGAAATCATCAAAACCATTTCAGAAAAATCTTCTAATTAATCAAATTGTTTTTCAATTATCCATGGAAAAAGATATTATTAATAATATGACAATACTCTCAAAAAAAACATGAGTGGTATGCTAATTGGTTACAAAAAGGCTCCCAGCTATGGATAATAAAAAAAATTAAAAAATTAAAAAAAGAAAGGTATAGAGAAATAAGAAAGTTTAGGGTTCTAAATGGTGAAGAGGAAGCCTGTGGTAAATACTATAAAAGTCCCAGGAGCATCTAGTGCTTCATTAGGGAACATCAACCCCATTAGTTTCAAAAGACAGAGCTTGAAAAACTTTACTGACTAAAGCACATGACTTGCATCTCCACATGGCTTAACCCCTTAACAACCAAGCAGTTTAGATTAATATTTGTGATACTATGAGCATGCAGTTTACTGCTTTACATTTAAAATATCATAGCACCCTTTTTCTCTTGTGACCTGTAACAAACAAAATAAATTTTAATCCTAGATTTATGTATATGAATCCACACACATACGTGAACATGGAATAGAACAAGAAATACAGGGTGCACCAAAGCTACAAATTAAAAGACTAAGATAACAATAAAAAAAGTCCAAAAGGTAAGGACAACCCCTTGAAAAACCGTCTTACCGGCAAAACGCGCGTCGGGTTGGAGATCGTAATCTAACAACCTCAGCCTTAGCCTCCCGTCCTTCTTTGATTTAATTTAAACTTTGGGACTTTATCAATACTTCTACAACCCCTTGAAAAGCCGCCTTACTGGCGAAACGCGCGTCGGGGTTGGAGATCTTAATCTAACAACCTCAGCCTTAGCCTCCCGTTACTTCTTTGATTTAATTTAAACTTTGGGACTTTATTGATAGAGATGTCGCGAACCGTCCGCGAACTTCTCGTGGCGAACTCTGGTCAGCTGACACATCCCGGCCAATCTCCAGCAGACCCTCCCTCCCAGACCCTCCTACTTCCTGGACAGCATCCATGTTGAAGCTGCCTCACCAGTCAAGCCACCAGTCACACCAGTCAAGCCATAAGACTTGCTTTTCCCACAGAAATCCCAAAACTGCAGCGATGTTACAACCGCAAAGGATTCCGGGTGGGCAAATGCAAATTAGTTTAACAAAGAATCACATTTTTGCCTCATTCCATTTTAAACATGGATTCCTTTTAATCAGACTTCAGGTGGAAGGGGTTTTCAATCACAATCTTTCCCCACCATAACCTATTTGGATTTTTCATTAACAACGAAACAGCTGTCCATGAGTGGTTCACTGGTTTTGCATCTTTTCCTATATTGTGTTTCAAGCTGTTGTATACAGCAAACACAGATTAAAAGGAATCCATGTTTAAAATGGAATGAGGCAAAAATGTGATTCTTTGTTAAACTAATTTTCATATGCCCACCCAGAATCCTTTGTGGTTGTAACATCGCTGCAGTTTGGGGATTTCTGTGGGAAAAGCAAGTCTTATGTGCAGATTTTTGTTTAACATTGTATTAATTATCCACAGACTTCAGGTGGAAGGGGTTTTCAATCACAATTTTTCCCCACCATAACCTATTTGTATTTTAAAATATATATATATCATATCGAGATATATATATATATATATATATATATATATATATTATATTTACATCTTATTTATATGTAACGTCATATGTAGTGTATTTTAGTGTTAATATAATTACATATATTAGTATTAAAATGCAAACATAAAGTTACATATATATATAAGACATATATATTATATATAGGGGAAAACAATTATATATATATACGTATAATTACAATAATAATGAAATAAAATAATAAAATAAATAAAATATATATTTTTTAATTACAATAATTTATATATACATATGTAATTTCATTCTAACTATTTTTTGTTATTAATAAATATATATTGGTTACAAAATACACTTAGAATGACATTCTATATCTATCTATCTATATATAAAATACAAACAACTATATATATATATATATATATATACATATATATATATATATATATATCTATATATATATACACGATACCAGTAGAGAGCACTCAGGAGTCTTTTGAGGTAAATTTCATCTGTTGCTTTATTGAACAATTACAAACTCACACAACGTTCCAGTCGATGTTTCAGTCTGTAAAAGACTTTTTTCAAGACTGAAACGTCAACTGGAACATTGTGTGAATTTGTAATTGCTCAATAAAGCAACAGATGAAATTTACCTTGAAAGACCCCTGAGTGCTCTCTACTGATATTGTATACAATTTGGTTGGAGACCGCATCGGAGCATTAAAAGACCGGGAGCATTGAGTGCTGGGACCTGGGACGTGTATATATATATATATATATATGTGTATATATATATATATATATATATGTGTGTATGATTACAAAATTATACACGTAGAATGTAAATACATATGTATGTATATATGTCAAAATTCTACGTATATATTTAAGTAATCTTTTAACATAATTATGTGATTTAATTAATTAAAATTTGATTGATGTGCCTAACAACCCAGGCAGAAAGTGCAGAGCATTTAATTCGCAAGCACTTTATCTAACCCTGTAACTTTCCAAAACACCATAAAACCTGTACATGGGGGTAATGTTTTACTCAGGAGACTTTGCTGTCCACAAATATTAGTGATTCAAAATGATAAATTGTATTACAGCGATGTTATTTTCAATAAATTGAAGGTTTTTGCATTTTTCACACATGAACAGCACTTTTACTGACGATATTATTGTTCTAATATGTTTTAATGTTTTGAAACACTTATGTGTTCAGTGAAGTCTCCCAAGTATACCAGAAAACCCCCTCCAATGTACAGGTTTTATGGTGTTTTGGAAAGTTAGAGAGTCAAATATAAGGCTTGCATTTCATTTTTTTGTCATTGAAATTTGCCAGATTGGTAATGTTGCCTTTGAGACCGTATGGTAGCCCAGGAATGAGAATTACTTCCATGATGGCACACCATTTGCAAAAGTAATCAACCCAAGGTATTGCAAATGGGGTATGTCCAGTCATTTTTAGTAGCCACTTAGTCACAAACACTGGCCAAATATTTGTTTTTTGCTTTTTTCACACAAAAACAAATAAGAACGCTAACTTTGGCAAGTGTTTGTGACTACTAAAAAGACTGGATATATCCTAGAGGCACAGCAATGGGGACAAGGTTTGCCCCCAGCTATGCTAATTTGTTTATGGCTGATTGGGAAGAAGAAGCCGTCTGGGGTGATCATAGCTGGCGGGCAAACCTGGTCTCATATTTCCGCTATATTGATGACCTATTTTTTATATGGAATGGTTCTGAAAGCTCTCATCTCTTTTTTTTTTTTTTTTTAAACATCTCAATAGTAATGATAAAGTTATAATTTTAACCACTGAATTAAGTAAAGAAGAAATAAACTTTTTAGATCTTAATATTTTTATTTAAGACAAGACTGTTAATACAAAAACTTTTTTTTTTAAAGTTGGCACTATACCCCTTGGTTTGAAAGTGCCCCCAAAAGCCAATTTTTAAGACTAAAAAGAAATTGTTCTAAACCAGAGGACTTTGATGTACAAACCACAGTCTTTAAGAAAAACATTTAGAAAAAAAATTACTCAGAAGAAAAACTAAATACAATAATCACAAAAGAAAAATAACAAAGGCAAAATCTTCTAACATATAGAGACAAAAGTTCTAATAAAAATACCACACCATCTATCTGAATTATATTCAATTTTAATAACAAAAATAAGGAAATTTTAAAAAGTATCTGAAAACACTGACACATATTACAACAAGATGATGTTCTCAATAATATTATTCCTGAAAAACATATTATTTTCAGAGGTGCGCCAAATTTTAAATCCCTCCTCACCAAAAATTTCACAAAAAATAAGTAAAATCAAATCCTCAACTTCATCACACATAAAAAGGCTTTTTTAAATGTAGTAAATGTGTTGTCTGCAAAACTACACAGGGATCAGTTCCAAACAAAATCACTCAATTTAATTTAAATGTAACAATAACAAACAAATCCTATAATATATAAGATTTTATCACATGTACCACTAAAATGTAATCTACCTATTGGAGTTTAAAAAACACTTCCCAACTTAACACCTAAAAAATCCAAGCAGTTTAAAGTTTACAGGCATAAAAACATGTACAATACCTTGGAGAGGAGGTAATAAAAAAAAATATTTTAGGCAGAAATGAGATGGAATGGGTTTTTAATTTGGATACATTGGTACCTAGGGTATTAAATGCAGATTTTTACCTTTTTAACTTTCTATAACTCTTGTTATATTTATGTTTTAATATGTGTTTTAACATGTTTTACATATTTACATCACTCATTTTAATTTATCACAGCTAAATATTCACTTTGTATTGTTTTTACACTCACTTATTTCTATTTTGCATATCTCTTTTATATTCCATAAAATTGCCTATATTCATACAGTCATCAATTGTATATTTATTAGTTACTATTTTTTATTTATATTATTA